TTGACTTCAATAAAATTCGATATGAAAGAAGATTCTCCCGAATACTATGTAGTTGGAACTTCATTTACCATTCAAGGGGAAACTAATGCTAGTAAAGGTCGAATATTAGTTTTCCAAGTAGAAAGAAACGAATTTGCTTGCAAATTACGGTTGATTCTCCAGAAAGAAATGAGAGGTGCAATATATTCATGCGGGCCGTTTGATGGAAAGTTATTAGCCTCCATTAATGGAACGGTATTATCAATTATATACTAGTATAATGTTTACCGTAAATTCTCGAAATAGGCCCAGGGGTGAAATTACGAAGTTTGGCCTAAATTTGGTTTAATTCAGAAAAACTCAAAACAACGCCCATGCCCGCTATTTGAGAATTTACGGTAATGCGAATTCTCTTGATATACATTTCGTTAACTTCTTAATTATAGGTTACAGTTTTCGAATGGAAAGCCTCTGAAGATGGAAGTGCAGAATTAATACCTCTTTGTAGTAATAAAGATTTTTCATTGGCACTTCGTGTTGTCTCCCGAGGACATTTCGTTTTAGTTGGCGATCTTTTTAGATCTATTAGTCTGTTAGCATACAAAGAATCAGATAAAGACAACAAATCTCTCGAAGTGATCGCTAAAGATAATAACCCTCATTGGATTTCTTCTGTCGAAGCTTTTGATGATGATGAATTTATTGCCGGTGATACAAATTATGATCTAATCACATTTCGAAAAAATGATGATACAGCAGATGAAGATGAAAGGAGGAAGTTGGAAACAAATGGATTCTTTCACCTGGGCGATTCAGTTAATCAAATACGTCATGGTTAAATAAACATATTTTGTCTGTCATTGAAATATTGACACAATGATAATTAATTAACCGATTTTCACAACTTTTAGGTTCTTTGGCGATGAATGTTTCAGAAACAGAGCCAGTAGGAATTTCTTCAGAATTGTTATACTGTACATCATCTGGAGCTATTGGCGTTATCGCATCAATACCCGAACAAAAATTTAAATTTTTGAAAAAATTAGAAGAAAGCATAGATAAAGTTATCGGCAGTATTGGTGATTTAAGTCACAAAGAGTGCGTTTTATTCATTTATCTTTATTATTAAAAGAAAATTGTCATAACTCATTAAATATATTCGGTTTAGATGGCGCAGTATAAAAAAAGTGAATAAGCTTTACGAGGCTCGAGGATTTATCGATGGCGATCTTATTGAATCTTTCCTTGACAGGTCCCGAAGTGAAATGGTACAAATTGCTGAAGAATGTGAGATGAAAGTAGATGAGCTATTAAAAATAGTTGAAGAGTTAACGAGAATTCATTAATCACCGCGTATAATAGTTAAACATTGTAATATTTTTAGCATCTAGCATTTTATATAAAATATGATATTGTAATTGGTAACATTTTTAAGAATTCTTTTGCATAAATAAAATTAATTTTTTTTTTACTCTGGGGTCGTCTAAAGCCAGGTGTGTTCACGTGACCAACGGCCAATCAAATATCTTCCCCAGCATCGCCACCAAAATTTTTCGATCACGTGATATCGACAAAATTCTTTAGAGTTCGTTTATGTTAGGATTAGGGTTATATTTAGGGTTAAAA